AATAATACCTATTTAACTAATGTTTTAACAATAACCATAGTTCCTTTCCTATATTTTTTAATAGATGTACTGTTTCTATCAGCTTTTGTTGCCACCGCTAGCAACACCCCAGTTACGAGTTTTACCTTGGTTTTTTTACAGTTGCTTTTGAACACTACAATGTTTACAACAAAACAAAAGGGATTTATGGAAATACAGTAATCAACAGTAGTAAACAACGAGTACTAAGTGAAATATATTTCGTGCAGTTATTCCAGTTCCCATAATAACTTTTTGGGCAGGTAAAATTTTTTTGGCAAAAAAACCAAATAAATAGTCCACAGTGAAAGTTTTGTATAAGAATCTTTTCACGAGCAAACGGACAAATGGATTTTTTTTATAGAGATATTCGCAAAAAAAGAACCTTTCTCCGAAATGGGCCAAGATTACAAAAGGGTTTTGGATTTCGTAAACACATGGATTTTTTGTTAGTTGCACTTATGCAGGCGACTCGATTAATGCAGATGTCATATTTATATAAATACCTGTAATTTAAACATCTGGCGAATATGTTATATATATACCTATATATTTCAGTAATAGGTATTATCCTTTAGATTATAGGTATACAGAGGTTCGTCAATGAAATTTGGTATCGTAATTAATATTATTATCGGAATATCGTAATTAATATATTATCAAATTTTTAAGCTTGTACTTATAATATTTAATATATCCTGGTAATTTTGTTTTATTATATACGAATTAATAAAAGTATACATAAACAAAACACCATATAATGTAAAATTTAACAAATATTCCTATTTAATGTTTGTTTTATTATATACATTATCTCTCTATAAATGATGTATACATAAACAAAATCACCACTTAAATAGTTTAAAAAAATTGTAAATCACATTTTCACAATATTACTAATATAATAAAAATGTAATTAGACGATGTTACGTAAGAAAAAAATATAATTAGGGGTCATAAAAAGAAAAAAAAAAAATAAGACCAATAGATGCTAAAATAATATTTTTTAGGAATTTTGCCTATCTGTATGTTTGTTCTGGCAACACATAAAAAGTACTGCACCAAATTGGATGCTGTTTTCACAGTTATGGTTTGATTTAAAATCTGATATGTGTTGTATCTTGATACACTGTTTAGGATTATATTTTATTGGTTTTCCTCCTGAAATCCATGCGTACAAAGTGACGGGCAAAAAGTGATGTTTTTAAGAAATTACAAAGAAGATGGAATTTTTTAATTCTTCTGTATTTTTATTTAAGTTACGCGATGTATTAGCCTATTCTGTACTGATTCTGGTAGTTCTTTTTGCAATGAATAGTGGATTCTATAGTTATTTTCTCAAATTTTAGCAGTAAATACGCTCCTCAAAAAGGGCTCATTAAGGTTTATTCAGGACTTCGGTTAAATAACCGTTTATCAACAAACGGGATATAAGTATATTTAACATACTGATTTACCATGTTAGTGATATAAAAAATGTCTTTACCATATTATAATAAAAACGTTTTAAAATACATTTACATAATATTATTTTGTTTATAATTTTTTTGTACAAGTTTCTTTAAAATGTCAATCAATGTCGAAATAATCTTTGACGATTTTGTAAAATATTCAAATATTTTACTATTGTGAATATGTTTATTATCGAAGAAATTATACTACTACACATGCAAATGCATACATCACAAATAAATAGATAGAAATATGACAAGACGTAATTAGGTAGGCAATGTTTTACAGAGCCTTCTTTATGAATTATTTACCTAAGATATTTCTTAACTGTCAAAATAACGACATAGGTACAATTGTTTTGTTATTTTTCTGAATACCATTGTTCAATAATATAGATGTGAAACAACCTCTCTCACATCATTCACACTTCATCCACATTTATCTAATGCAGAGGTTCCCAAACTTATTTTGTCTACTGTCCACTTTGAGAATAAATTATTTTTTAGCGCCCCCATTTTTTCACCTACTTAAAAACCACTATTACTTCAAGATCAACAGATCACCCCTCCAAGCCTGTGCACAACGCCTCCATTTTTTTTTCTGGGTCTCTTGCTAATATTAAACTTTACTCATATACTATAGGATAAGTAGAAGACAAAAAATATAACAATATACTAGTTTTACTTTTTTCTTTCATGTGACAAAAATATTGATTAACGGGTATAAAAGTAAGCTATCTGTTTCCTTTTTTATTCTAAATTTCCCGTGTATGTAAAATTTCATGACAATTACTTGAAAACTTACTACCTCACTTGAAATACTTGAGCCGTTTAGACGTCACAAGATAATAAACTTTCACGATTTTATCATCTTCATCACTGGTCATCTCTAGGCTCGCCAGATAGTATGGGCGGGCGAGGTGGGGGGCCCGGGGCGTACCCCATTACCCCAGCTTCAACTCCGGAGGCTCCCACCACCGGGTTTCGTGGTTTTAAGTCGACATGCACTAGGTGTTATGCGTATGTCGCCGCGACGTCACATTTTCATAATGTGTTATTTACGTTGTAGTACCGTTGTACTAGATGACGCTGTAGATATAAAAATAAGCGTGACACAATGACACAGGTGCAGAAGGACATAATTTCAATAAAAAAAAAAGCAAATAAATATATTATACCCGTACATAGATAATAATCACATGTTTATTATTTAAAGTCTACAAAGTTATCAAAGCTATTTCTCATTACAACGTTATTATAACTAATTAAGTATATTGATAAATGTATCGAATGGGTGATTTACGTTACGATTGTGTGTTTATATTTATGTCGAAAGTTTAATAAGAAATCTGAGTTTACAAAATCATCCGTTACACTGCAGATAAATTTTGCTTAGATTATAAAATTTATAGATTGGTAATGTAAAAGAGGTATAACATAAACACCATATAAGTTCGAAGCTGATTTGGCGAGAATATAAACTAAATACTATTTATTTTAATATTAATTATTATAATAATTATTTATTATTAAAATAAAAAATAATTAGTTCTAATTATTTTTATATTTAAAGTGAAATTCGATTTAAAACAATGTATTTTAACAGAGAATTAATTTTATTGCGCCTTATATTTTAATATTTAATATAAATAAATAGATCTGACAAATAGATTTACATATAAGGTACTCAATTTATAATTTAAGGTAAAATATATACAAATACGTGAATTGTCACTATTTTGCAACTTCAATTTGATAGAAATTTGCTTTTTCTCTTCTTTAATATCTGCCTCACACTTTCCATTCCTCGTAAACAATGGATTCAAATATAGAAACTCACTCACTTTTTCCACTCGTCCTCCGTGGCGCAGCGGTCAACACGCCTGCCTGCGACGTGGAGGCCCCGGGTTCGATCCCCGGCCAGGTTATGATGGAAAACGATCTTTTCCTGATTGGCCTGGGTCTTGGATGTATATGTATCTATTATAAATATAGTATCGTTGAGTTAGTATACCATAACACAAGTCTCGAACTTACTTTGGGGCTAGCTCAATCTGAGTGATTTGTAAAAAAAAAAACAAAAAAAAAAAAGTCTTTTATTCCCTATCACTATCTGACAAGCTATTAGACTTTCATTTCTCTCATTAAATTCATCTTCATCATCTTCGTTTTCTTCGCATATATTTTTATACGTTTCTTTGCATATGCTTCATTCATTACTGTTACCATTTGTTGTAATTCATACTCCGATGATGCAATCAGTACTTGGTCGTCAGTGTATAAAGATGTCCTTAGTAATGACTCGTTCATTCGGAATCTGCAATAAGACTCAAATCGGTCAAGCAACTGTCCATAAATAAGTTGAACAACCAAGGGGATGCTCCACAACCCTGTTTAAGATATGCACACATTTACAAAATGCACACTAGTGTAATCCTTTTCTTGTCGGTTTTTGTGATTGCATTACCAGTCTGTCAGCACATAATTCGTAATACGACGTTTATGAAGTTTTCAGTATAAAATTTGGATATATGTAATTAATATTTAGGTCGTAGATTTTTTTTGCATTTTATATATATTTTTTACGGTATGTAAATCTGTGTTAAAATCATTGAATATTTCAGTATATTCGTAGCATTATTTTTAAAAGTAAGAAGGTTATTATGAAAGAGCTATCGTTGAAAGCTTACATCACTACAGCTAATGTCTCGCTTTATTATGCAAGAACCGTTTATTTTTTCATAAAAACGATTTCATATCAGCTGAACTAGGAACCCTCGACGACAAGAAAATGAATCTCGTCACTTTGATCGACACTCACCTTTAGGGCTTGCGGCTCGCCGCGCCGCACGCGCGACCTTTGGAATTATATAATATTTATACAATAATTTAACGTCTAAAGGTTTTTTTTTAAATGACAGCTCAATCTTTTGTTCGTCTGTCATAAACATTGTTAGAGAACCTTGAATGTATAAGTGTAGTACTTATTAAAATTTTTAATTTTGAATACACAGATATATTTACTTATTTTAGTAATCTTGCCATCTTAATACATAAAAATTTCGTGTCGCGATGTTTACTCACACAAATCTTCAAAACCGCTTAACCAATTTTAATAAAATTTTGTAAATGTGTATTGTTTGCTCTATTTTTTATATAAAAAACTCTACAATAAAAGCTTAGGCATTGAAATTAAGTATGTAAAATTACATAATTACAGAATATTATTAATGATGATGAGTCCTGACTGTTTTCGGTCCCAGCGACTGTTTTAATTGCGCTATTATTAATTGAATAATTGTTTAATGATAATTATTACATTACTTAGGGAAGCAAGGCCATTATAAACATATTCATATGCTTTTGTTCACCCACGCCCACACTATTGTAGATACCTTTAGAATATTCTAACCACAATTAAAAATTATTTTAATAAAATATATAGAATTACTAATAAATGAAACAACAATATCATTTAGTTAAATTTATTAATGACAATATCTTAGAACTTATTACTTAAAAATAATTTAATTAACCTAAAAAATATAAATGCAAACTGTTTAATCTCAACAAGCAACATTTATTGAAAATAAATGTTGCTGCATTACTTACATATAATGAGTAAAAAGAGCAGAGAAGATTAGTCATCAGATTTAGATAGATATCTTGAAAATAGAATATTAAATAGTACTATTATTATTTATTATTCTACTTTATAGACATATTTCTTTAGCCTTTCCCGCGTAAAAAAAAAATTTATAATATAAGTTACACAATAACCAAAACCTAGATATTGTCATCAAAAAGCTTTGTTGGCAAGCTTGTATGACGAGAACCCTGGTTTGCTATAAAAATCATAAATTTCAATTATTTTTAATACATATTATTCGTATATATTATTTTTACTATTACAATATATTATTACTGAATAGATGAACAAGGAAATATAGAAGATGTATGCCATTCAAAAAAGAAGTCGTATATTTCGTATGTACCACCATAGTTTATTTATATGAGTAATAATTAATGAGTGAAGTACTTATATAAAAATTTTGAAGTCATCATATTTTAAACTCGTTCGCCCTGACATTGTAAATTAAATAGTTACCTTATGTAAATTTGTTAATTATTGTCTGAAAGAGATGTTTGCTAATGTCAAATGAACATGTAACTGAAAATAACAGTTTTTTCTTGACATTATCAAAGGTACAAAATATTTCGAATAAACCTAAACATTTTCAAGGTTACCTTGAAAATATTGAGCAAGTTTTCAGCAATAAGGCTACTTTATTATATTCGTAAAAGAGTATATATATTTTTTTTTATTTTATACCTTGTATAATTACAGGTACATTATCTATACTTATACATTTATACAGATATATTTTTATACAATTTTTTTTATGTTTATTTCAAAAGAAATAACACATATTCCTTACTATACTTTACTTTGCGTATGGTTTAGTCAATCACTATGAAATTTGGTATACGCGTACTATATGGGATATAGAAGGATATAGATTACCATTTCTCCCGGTCATTAGACATATCCCGGTCACGCGGACGAAGTTGCAGGTAAAAGCTAGTATGTAATAATTAATACCATAATATAAAAAATAATACATAATAATTTACTATTTATGATCATAGCAAACCTTTCAATATTAACCACCTGTCAGTCTTAACCGACTATTTCAACTTCCAGACACGTAGGTCCAAAGTTATAGCATTAAAAAGCTTCATTTACACATGAAATGAAGAAATTCATTTACAAATTTCTATCTAAAAAATCTACATATTATTTAATTCTTATACCTACAGTTATTTTATTTGTCATGGAGAATGATTTAAGTTGCAACCAGACCAGAGATCGGAAGCAATCGCTTTATAGATTATATTTTTGATATTTCGGGATAGAATAAATTTATTAACATTTTATTTCTTAAAAATTATGCTGTTTCTTTTTGATTGTAAAAATAATTTTCAAAAAATTGTAAACAGTAAATAAATGAATTAATTGATTTATTTTAATTGATATGTTTTTATATAGAATAAAATTAAAGTGAGTGCAGAAAATTTTTTTTTACTTTATATGAAAAACATATTTTCAAATTGATTCTTTGCGAACAAGGCACACTTAACAATGTCCAAATGCAGGAAAAATACTGCATATTGAAATCTATGCCTAAATATAATGCTTTGTTACAACGTCGCAATTTGAAAATATTGTATTCCAATCCACTTTGAACAGGTTCGTTTTTGTTTTTTAATAAATACATATCTAATAAAAATATATGCTACTTATAATAAATTTATGCAAGACATTTCACATACGTACTTAAAGAGCAAAAAATTAGGCACCTTGAAGTTCGAAGTCTTATATTTTTTTTTGTACATTCAATTGTGTTCACAAATTATGATATTAATGTTTTGAATTTGAAATTTAACCAGTGGAGTTGTGAATAATAATCAATTACAAGTCAAGTCTGGTGACGTCTTTAACGAAATATAATATATGTTTATGTAATGACGATATTTGTTGTTTGTTTGATGTTTTTGTTTATTTAGAGAATTGGACTCGATGAATAAATATGTATATACCTACCTAAGTACAAAATACATTACACAAGTACCTATTTAACTAGTAATGAATCTGTTGCAATAACCTATTTAAAATGTATAATTATCGTGTCCCAATTACTTTGTATATGCTAAAATTTCATTTCTCAGAAATGCAAATTAAAATTAGTCAAATGAGCCCTTAATGACAAAATAATGTCATCGGATTAAGTTTTATTATATTCGTTAATATTTAAATTATCGATAATTTTATATTATTAATTTAGGTTAAATATTGAAATTTGACGACCAAATATTTATACAAAATGAGAATTTTTGTAGAATCTCATTATCATTAAACGTTATTTATAATATATATTATTTAAACTGACTTTAATATAAAACAGGTTTATAATGTATGTTTTTTTAAATTGTTCTTGACTTTTTTTTATTGTATAATTTAATTTTATATACATCGATCAGAATTTACTTTTTGTTTCTAAATTTAAAAATAATCAGAGATGAAATATCACTTACAAAATTACATTTGAATTTAGAACCGTCTCTTATTTTAATGTTGATTAAAATAAAATCCCTTATTATTCTGTGATTGTAAATAGGTACATACAATTTTTATAATGTATTTCAAAACATAGTAATATTTTTAGACGATATCGTCTTAAAGGCAAGATTTCTTAACAGTTTACATTAATACCGTTCCAACTAGTGGACAGGTCAGTCTTCCTACTTCCTACATGTACAGGTCGAAATCGAATCCGCTACCCCCGCTCAGGTAATCATATAGGTATACCGCCATCTCGTCGAGAGCTTCGAACCTGGGATCGCTGAGTGGGTCCTCGCGGATTGCTCGGGCCGACCTGGACAACGACCTGCTGAAAAATAGCTTGATTTACTATAAATATACGGATATTGCCGTGTGGTCCCGGCATAGAATAGGCCACCCTTTCCTTTCTCATAGGTGTCGTAAGAGATGACTAAGGGAGGGTGAGGAATAGCCAGCAGCGTCCTTCTTAAAACATCTCTAAAAGTCTGTGATTGCCAACCCGCCTGTCATACGTGGCAGCTACTAACAAATTCCCTTTATGAGGAAAGCTTATGTCCAGCAGTGGACAGTTCACGACTGAAATAATAAAAAAAAAATACGTAAAATCGAAATCACTAGCATACTTTGAAGAGTCTATCAGTGCAATTGAACATTTTTTCCAAAATCCGATACTACCACGGACTTAAAATACTGTTTAAAAAACAACGATGTTTTGAATTTTCGATTCATACAATTTCTGTCCTAATATGTATTATAACATAGATAGATTGTTACTTTTATTTATTTATTTAATTAACTTTATTGACTAAAAGAAAATATGGCTCAAAAGGCGGAATTAATGCTAGTAGCATTCTTTAAATTCTTTAAAAAATACCATTTAATAATGTATTATTTTATTATTTCGATTTTACTTTTTATATCTATTTAGGTATATTTTTAGTATATATTCTTTATTGCACTTGTAAGTTACATATAAAATAATGTATTTTTATGTGTAGGGTAGGGTTAGGGTACTTTTATTATTTTCCATAACACGGAACGATATCGTATGATTTTATTGTGCCGATACAATGATAACAGAACAAGATATAAGCATTTAAAGTTTGTGACTTAGCCGATAACGACTCAAGAAACCACGATAATTTCCAGGGGACCACGTGTAGGTCGACTTGACAGGGTATATTGCTTGCAGTGAGTCGCTTGTCCTCGTTACAATTTACCAGATCGACCTCCACGCGGTACCCCCTGAAAACCATCTTGATTAATTCTTTATGTATTCATCACTATGGACCAGTTGATCTGCCCTATCATGTCTCACTGGTGCTCCGACAGCGTATACCGAAAACGTAGGCGGGGTTCAATGGGTGATAAACGAATTGCAAACCCGCATGCGCTAACGGTATACGCTGGCGGGATACCAGTGAGAGATGACTAATGATGATGAAAACAGATCAGTTAGCACATCGTGATAAATTTACCTAGATTTAAACATGATAGTCACTAGTGTGGACTGCGAGGAGGTCGACCTGACAGAGTGTATTGCTAGCAATCCTGAAGTTACCCCTTTAGTAACAATCCCCCCCCCCCGCAGGCGGGGGTTACTATTACCCATTTTAAAAAACCGTACGATATCGCGTCGTGCTATAGTAAATTATTTAAGCATTCATTAAGGTTTAAACAATTATATCCTAAATGACAGATACAGTTTAGCTTTGTGTCATCTGTGTAAATAAATAGGTGAGATATTGTTACATGCAGAGACTACTATGTAGTATTTATAGATAAAATACATTATTTTCATGTTCATACAGTGTGAGTACACTACAGAATTGAAAAGAATTAAGAGTATATATATGTAACGCTTTAATTAACTGATCCACTGAATCTATCCTTACTAATATTGTAAATGTGAAAGTGAGTTTATTTGTTTTACCTGATACCTAACCTAACTACCAGGGGGAAATGGATTATTAGAGATGGGGTCTAACAGCCCTATTGCTAGCAATCTTACTAGGCAGGTCGACCTCCATGCGTGCACATGGTTTCCAGGGGAAACCCTGCATTTTGGTTATTTCTCGTGGAATTCTTCACGATGGGCTGATTACCTGCTTTCATCCTCATCTATCACCTCCCATTGGAATCCCACCAGCATATATCGTTAGCGCAGACGTGGTTACTATTTCATTATCACCCATTTAAAAAAAACCTAACTACTAGAAGCAGACTTTGTATAAAAGTCGTTCATTTGGGCACCTCTGTCCAATTCGTGTTTCTACCGTGAAGCAGTTGTGTTTGCATGGCTGTGTTTCGGTTTAAAGGGTGGGATATGGCAGTGAATTTACAGGATACAGAGGAATAACACCTGAGTCCTCAGGAATAGTAACGCATGGGGGTGTCAGGGGCGAAACAGTATACTATGTTATGCCCATGGTACTGCTCATGTCTATAGGCGACGGTTACCACTTTTCATCAGGGAGCCGTCAGCTTGTTTGCCATTCTAAGTAACATAAAAAAAAAACCTTGACCAATTACTATGAAAATTGATATAAATGTTACACGTACTATATGGGATGCAGACTATTTTTCCGGTCAGAAAAAATATACGCGGGGTTATTTTTTCTAGAATTAAGGACCGTCCTAGTGAGAGTCTGACTACGCGAATTCGACTCTCACTTAGCTGGTTCTTATTATATTATACCCAGCCTTACAAATAGGGAATAAATTTTAATTGTAGGCAACAAGAAGTACCCCATAGGTTTTGATTACGTTGCAAATATTAAAACTAATAGCAATTAAATTAAATTATCTTTTGATTATTAAGCTTCTTGCTTACTGATTATCAAGCTATATGAGTTTCAAGGGATCCTAGATTTCATTTGAAAACTCTTCAATTAGGCTGCAAGTGCAGTTACTTCGTGATAGAAACACAAGTTGCTACAGAGGTATTCAAGTGGACGACTTTTATATGAAGTCCCATATTTTAATGTAAATTACCTGAAGTCCGTGTCTGTATCTAGCTCGTCCTCGCTGGTGAATCGTTCGCGGATGTCCTTCATTATACACGCTTCCAGCTTCTTGTGCTGAAAACAGAAGGTATGATTCATAGGGGAGATATATAAATGTATGTACAATGCATGCAGTCACTATCCTTAATATATGAAATATACAGTTTGAGGGGAAAAGGGATTGTTAGTAAAGGAAACTAAGAATCACATTGCTAGCAATATACCTAATCAGGTCGACCTCCTCGCGGTTCCCCTGGAAACTATCATGATTAATTCCTGATGAATTCATCATGATGGGCTAACTGGCCTGTTTTTATCCTCATCGATCACCCTTCACTGGTGCCCCGCCAGCGTATCCCATTAGCGCGGGGTTACCACTCCATTTTCATCCAATAAAAAAATATATATACAGTATGTTAATTAGTGTAACCATCCTTAAAATTAGTGTTACTATTCATTAATAGGGTTCCAATAATTTTTTTTTTTAGAAAAAAATTTATTCCAAAAACTAATAAAAAAAATAAATTTAAATTCTCGAAAATAAGAACAACTTGTATCTATACCAACGTTACTACATAATAATAGATATGTAAACATATATTGTGAATTTTTTTTAATGGGTGATAATGGTATGGTAACCCCGTCTGCGCTATTGGTATACACTGGCGGGGCACCAGTGATAGATGAAGGTGAAAGTAGGTCAGTTAGCCCATCCTGACGAATTAAACTAGAATTAGTCACGATGGTTTCCAGGGGAAACCACGTGGAGGTAGACCTGACAGGGTATATTGCTAGTAATAAGGCTGTTTGACCCCATTACTAACAATCCCTTTCCCCCTTCTTATATTGTGTATTTCAAGTAACAATATTACTAAGTGTTTATTTATTTAGGCATAGCAACAGTAATACAATTCACATTACATTGGCTATAATAAGCTTTATAACTAAGCAATTGTTTTTAAATTGTACACCGTTAATGGCTACGCACAGCGTATCTTCGTTATCAGAGTTATCATCATATTATCAGCCATTATCTGACCACTGTTAAAAATAGGTTTCCCCCATAAGGGATGGATTTGCCAATAGTTGCCACGCTTAGCAGGCGAGTTGGCTACTGCTGTTAGGTTTTGGTGATGTTTTAAAAGGGATGGTGCTATTTATTCTACGACCATTAAGTTTCTTTAGTCGCCCCTTTGACTCTCTCGGAAATGAAAGAAGTGTCCCATTTTATGCCGGGAACACATGGCTATTGAGGGGGAAAAGGGATTGTTAGTAATGGGGATTAGTAGCCCCATTGCTAGCAATATACCCTGTCAGGTCGACCACCTCGTGGTTCCCCCTGGAAACCCCTTGATTTAGTGTTAGATTCGTCATGGTGGGCTAACTGACCTGCTTCATTCTCACCTATCATCACTCACTGGCGTCACACCAGTGTACACCGATAGCGCAGGCGGGGTTACCATTCTATTATCATCCATTAAAAAAAACACAGGCATTTACAGGATAATATTAGGTTATCTATGGTCGGAGATATTACCTTGTAGCAGCGGAAGAAAAACATTGGCTTGATAAGTTCTTGTGAGAGAGGCGCGACGTCACGCTTCACGTCGGGCACGCATTGCTGAAACAAAATACAAGCACGCTTTAGTACTTTCAATAGTTACATAATTACCAAAGATATTAGATGTGGATTTAATTTTAGACTAACTCTCCGATAATAGAAATCGCCAAACATGCCTCGATTCGATATAAAAAATAAATATATGAAATCTATGCAACCACTTCATTGAATTTTGTCATAAATAGTTCTACAAAACTTGAATAATACTTTATTTCGTCATGTCGTTACTTTTAGATAGTTGCATAGATTGATTTTCAATTTTGATTTTCAATATAAGGACATTGTCGATTCTTAAATAATGTTGTGATTAACATAGACAGTACTACTATACTGCAATATGTTTTGGCACCACGTAAAAATTACTACACGAAATTGGATATAGTTGTGTTTCTAAGTGTTGAAAGCTGATGTATGTTGTATTTTGATCCGCCATTTGGCAAGCATCTTTTTCATTGGTCACTTAAGAAGAAAAATCATCCACGCGTACGAAATCGCTGGCAAAAACTAGTCATAAATATTATCTCACCGAAAACTTTTGACAGAACTGCAGCCCGTCTTGTATATCACCCTTGAGTTCGCTGGAGACGGGAAGGTTGGCGATCCTCTGGGTAATCTGCTCGTAGTTCGGCTCTAGCGTGTGGTCGATGTAGCCGAGCTCCTGCATCACGCACGTGATATTCTTCACGCGACCCGCCCCAGGACCACGGGAGATGATGTCCAGGCGGTCACGTAGACCCATTTCGCGCTGAAATAAATAGTTGGAATTAAAGAACGAAGTTTATTAAAGTAAATTGAATAATAAGTATTTTACGTAGTTTTTTTTTAATTCTACCTTCTATTCGAAATGCAATTACAGCTGAGAAGAACGGGTATAAAACTCAGCTGTAGCTTTTTCCAATCACAATTAGATTGAAAAACCATAATAATAATTTAATTTTAAGTGAAATAAATTTATTCTTAACTGTGTTGTTAATACACCAGTGCGGAAGAAAGATAAATCGTAATAAGATATTCCACTAAACCACCTGTGCAATTTAGCAATAATAAAGAATAATATAAATAATTTTACTATCTTATCTTATTCATATTAAAAAAAAATGTACTATAGGATGTTTGTCATGGAAGATATTGTCTAGAAAAATTGAAATGGTCTCAATAAAAACAATAGAAGTCAAAAGAATATTTTTTAGAAATATTGTCTGTTTGTCTGTCCCGGCATCATAAAGAAACTACTGTATCAAATTGGATACAGTCTAACAGTTATGTTCCTACAGATCTAACTTAAAAACTGGTGTATGTTTTATTTTGATACGCCACGTGGAATTAATATATTTTATTGGATTTCTTTCTTTTGAAATCCATGGAAATGAAGTAGTGAGCAAAAAGCTAGTATTTTTATAAATATAATAGATAGATAATTTATTTGCATTACTTAAAGTACACAAATCACAAAAGACACAGATATACGTAAAAAGAGAGAAAAGAGATATGCATAAAAAAATACGTATAAGCCAAACACAATTTTTTCCTTTTTGTGCGTGTGCTATAAACAACACAAAATACAATATAGATTCATTCTATTAAGAGTATGTATGTAAGGAAGACAATATTTTTTTTTAAAAGAGATATCATACGCTTTTAAAAATTTACAAAAAAAAAATGTTTCGTAATAAAGCTACAGCACGTTATTGTTAATCCTTATAATATGTATCTTTATTATGTGTTAGTGACTTAAAATATACATTTATATATTTACATTATTGAACGTATATATATTTATATACGATTAGAGTTTCGTGCCTCTACTCAAACTGTTTATAATTACTCTTCTCCATCCAAAGGTTGTTCGGAAGAGATTGCTCTTAGCGATAAGGCTGCACATTGTTTTCTTAGTGTATTTTGTGTTTGTAATTATTTGTATTTTAATAAGTTTACTATTGTAATCTTATGGACGAAACAATGAAAAGTAAAGGAATAATAAAGAGTTATTATTCATTCATCCATTCATTTTACCACATGATTGTTTAGTGAGAGTAATTAAAACAAATTACAACATAATTAAGATAGTATTACATGAAAAAATCTTATTTTTATTTATTTATTTATTTAAATTGTGACTCAATTGTGTTCAAAACCAGTTATTCTGATTTAAAAACTAAAGTACTGAAATGATTTTGATAAAATTTCTGTGGGATCAATCTGTAAGTATATACTTTCAGATAAGAAATGAATTTTTCAAATATGTTTACAAACGATCGAGTTATGAGGAAACAGACAAAAAAAATACAATCAAACTGGGAACCTCTATCTTTTTCAAGTCGGTTTATAATAAGTAATTAGTGTTTATCATTTGCGCAGAAGTTTAGAGAAATGTTTATAGAGGCGTTAAATTTCAGTTTAATTTTCAACGCGTTCCTAACGTCACGTAACTTTATATTTAACCTACTTGCATTTAACGTCTCATCATTCTCTTGTTTCTCAACTTTACTATAATATGGGCACGTACTAAAATCAGCATTTAGCCTATTTTAGGAAACGAGGTTTTATATAAAACACGGATAGTATGCGTGCTGTTTGAAATAAACAGAGAAAATATTTGTTTCTGATGTAATGGAAAATTTAAAGCATTCATCATGTGCGTGACACGTCTTACGTTAACCTCCATACAATGTAAATACATAAAAATACATTATTTTTTCTTTACAAACACAATGGGACAATACAAATTGAAGCGGTACGTAGTATTATTGTAACTCGTTATAAAACACTTGAGCAATTATTAATCACTCTTTTTATAATTTTTTTTTTCCACAAATTATAAAGGTTTCGAAGCGATTGAACGCTATATAGGTTAAGTATCTTATATACAATAATAATCAATATGGAATTATGATAATTCCATTTACATATCAACAGGGAAAATAGACATAACAGAGTTTAAGAATAGAAGAAAAAAGAATTTAAATAATTAAGTTAGGCTCTTTGTCTTTGACCTTTGCATGATTGTGATCACGCTCTTATATTTATAACAATCTATATGAACTATTTATTTTATGAAAATGAAAAAAAATAATGAATACTAAAACTTGGTTCTGTCACATTATGGCGGACTAGAAACGAAACCTATATTGGCACAACTTTTTTTTATACAACTTAGAATGGCAAACAAGCTGACGATGGAACCTGATGGAAAGTGGTAACCGTCCCCTATAGACATGAGCAGTATCATGGACATAAAAGAGTATACTGTTTCACTCATGATACCCCTCATGCGTTGCCATTCCTGAGGATTAAGGTATTATTCCTCTGTACCCAGTAAATTCACGCCATATCCCACCCTTCAAAACGAACACAGCCATGCAAACACAACTGCTTCACGATTGAAACACGAATGGAACAGAGGTATCTCTGTCCCAAGAAATCGTCTTTTGTACAAAATCTCCATCTGGTAGTATCGAAGGAAAACAAGAAAAAAATATTTAGGATGACAGTAAATGGGATTTAATTGGGTTCTTGAAGGTGGCTAATGAATGTACATATACCTTTAGTAGAAACAGAAAATAAATTCAAAACTCACCGACATCCTGTTAGATCCAAAGTAAGGTTGCTGGTAGTACCCCTGCTGGTACTGTTGGTAGGCGTAAGGGTTGTACTGGGGTCCTGGGGGGTAAAACCCTGGGGCACCATACGGGAACTGGTAGAATGGCGTAGCGGGGCTGAACGGCCGGAATTGAGGGTTTAAGGGCATCATGTATGGTGGTAGGGATGGTTGTTGCTGAAATCAAATAAGGATATATAAAAAGCAAATATTATAAATGTCCCCTTATTAGTATTTTTTTTTGATGGGTGAAAATGGTATAGTAACCCCACCTGCGTTAACGGAATACGCTGGCGGAGCACCAGTGAAGGGTGATAGATGAGAATGAAAACAGGCCAGTTAGCCCATCATGATGAATTCATCATGAATTAACCATGATAGTTTCCAGGGGGAACCGCGAGAAGGTCGACCTGGTTGGGTATATTGCTAACAATGGGATTCTCAGTCTCCATTACTAACAATCCATTCAACAACAATCCATTAGTATTCTGTGCTTATATGCTACAGGGTTTTGGAAATATTTTATGTGTTTTACCATATACTGTGCTGCTTTAGAACTTAAAGTAAGAAGTGATTAAACTTTTTCGCACTTATCACAAAAATCGTCTATCTGTCTAAATCAAATTAGTAACGAATTTAATCAATAATCGATTTTTGATTGGTGTTATTTATGTTATCCTAGGTATGGTAATACCTGAATATCATCTCTCACCGGTGCTCCTCTAGTATATACCGATAGTGGGGTTACTACTACGTTCTAATGCATTAAAAAAAAGCGGTAAACAGATTTTTAGTAATGGGGTCTAATAGCCACATTGCTACCAATATACCCTCTCAGGTCGACCTCCACGCGGTTCCCCCTGGAAACCGTCATGTTTAATTCTTGTTGAATTCATCATGGTGGGCCAACTGACCGTCATTCATTCTCACCTATCATCTTCCATTGGTGCCTCGTCGGTGTATACCGATAGCGCGGGCGGCGTTACGATTCCATTTTCATTCATTAAAAAATGCATTAAAAAAAAATAGAGTGATTGATGTACCTACTGATGTACAAAGAAATAAATAAATATTTTCACTGTCCTATAATGACATACTAAATGACTTACATACAATGCTAATTATTTGTAAATAACTTAATATTTTTTTTATTGTAGTTACTTACGAAATAATTAACTATATTATTTCGTAAGTATCGAATAATAATATAGTATATATATATATATATATATATATATATATATATATATATATATATATATATATATATATATATATATATATATATATATATATATACATACGAATTAAATCGTAAAAGATATAATAGTTCATGTCGTTACGTGTATAATAATTATTTTATACAGTAATAAATAAAATAATTTCCTTTATTACAATCTGTGGATCAATTTTAAAAGAAATAAAACTTCCTTAACTAGATATTTTATTCTTTTATAGTAATACATTATTTAAATACTAGGTAACTGGTATATATAATAATTAAATAAATTCATAATATGTAGTTTATAAGTATAAATCTGTTTGTATAGTTATCTACTTTTATTTTATAACTAAAATAAAAAATATTTTAAATTTGTATCACGTTTGTAAAGTGAAGATGTATTTCAATACGCTTGATATCGCCTCTTTAGCTCAGCGGTAGAGCGCTGGTCTCGTAAACCAGCGGTCGTGAGTTCAATCCTCACAGGGGGCATCATAATAATATTTTTTCTATTCATACTTTTCTTTCCCTTAATTTTATGGATATCACTCGTATGTATTAAAAAAGTATTAAACGTTTTTCTTTGTTCTAAACTATTTTCTTTTATCACGTTCGTAAATCTTTACGACATTGATTTTATGTATTTGCCACTTCATTATTATTATTTTTATTTATAATTTGCATATTAACAAATATTTTACAAATATTTAATTAATTGATAATATATTATAATTAAAAAATATTGTAAAATACAAACGTTGTCAGTAGCGCCATCTCTTGGTGTGAGTTTATAAATTCATTAGAAAAAATACTTTGTAATTAATAATTAGGGCCACTTACTCCGTGAGGTCTAAATCCGAAGACGTTCCCACCTCCGCCATGGGGAGATTTCTGTGGTTGTTGTCCTTGATCTAATACATTTTCATTTCCAGAACCATGTAAAGCGCCATCTGTTGGTTTAGTGATAGTTTGCGAGTTTGGGTCCATGGAGAAACCGGGCGGTAGTTTACCGAGGAAGATAGGTGGCGGGTTTGGCGGTTCGTCAAAAGATGGCGGTGCTGAGCATTTAGCATAGGCATCCTTCATTTCATTGCGAATCTGTTTTACAACTTCAGGACCAAAACAACTTTCATAAATCTGTAAAATATATTAAAAATAATAATATTAAAAAAATGGCCGATAATTAGTTTAAACAGTGATGATGATTAATAATTTAAAAGTATTACACTTTATATCGTATTACATTGTATCGAGTAATGCTACTTTTTTTACTTATCATATTTAATTATAATAAAAATAGAAAAATATAAAAGTAGTAGGTAATTTTCAACAAGGTTTCCATACGCAGTTGTGGCCGAGTGGTTAAGGCGTCTGACTCGAAATCAGATTCCCTCTGGGAGCGTAGGTTCGAATCCTACCAACTGCGAAACTTTTTTTTACATATTTTCCCACTTGAATACAAACTACAGTCTTTTTTTATTTCTTCTCACATTTATTTTATTTTCAGTATTTTTCTTATGAAAATACAGAAGAAAGCTAGTGCTCCATTCAATTATACTTTTTATACGTACTATACAGTAACTTCAACATTCTGAATATATGATAAATTCGCATTTTAACTAAAAAGGTGTGTACAATATATTCATACTGATTCCATTCGAATTTAGGAACGGCTTAGAAATTTTTGTTTGTCTGCCGTAGAGTAATAAGAAGTACTGCCTCAATGCGTATAGATGCATTCAGTTTTCTAGACTTAGTCTGGTGTTTTCTTCCAAAATCCACGCATTTGAATTCATGAGCAAAAGTAGGTAATGAAATGAATAATTAAAATAGAAGCACGTGAGTTTTTTGTCACTTCTCTAGAAGTTGACTGAGAGAGAATGCTTTTAGTAATGAATTTAGCATTATGAACTTTGTACACATTATATCTGCATTAAAGAATAAATATTTTTTTATGCTATTTAGAATGGCGAACAAGCTAACGGCCCACCTGTTGGAAAGTGGTAACCATGGCCTATAGACATAAGCAGTACCATGGACATAACAGAGTATACTATTTCGCCTAGGATACCCCTCATGCGTTCTTCTGTACCTTGTAAATTCACTGCCATATCCCACCCTTCAAATTGAAACACAGCCATGCAAACACAACTGCTTCATGGTAGAAACACGAATGGGACAGTGGTGCCCAAGTAAACGACTTTTATATATATATACAAAGTCGCCCTCTGGTAATTTCTTGAATATAAAGATTTGTTACCTTCATCATGGCGTACTTCTTAATGAATCTGTCATCACTGCTAGCGACCGCATGAGCGACGCACACAAGGCAAAAGAACAAAAGTTTTTGAATCATTTTTGATCTGTGGACAATATAAAATACATTATTAAATTCTCTGGATAAGAGTTAAAGACACTTTTTAAATATAACACACACCTTACGTAAAATTAAATAAAAAAAAAAGAAAAAATACTGGCCGTTTATCTAAAAGACCTTTAATATATATTTTTTTTATTTTATAGTACACAGGTATCTTGTATCTGTGTACTAATATTGTCTGTGACTACGCTAAATATTTATCGACAGTGATATTTTAGACAAAGGAAATAGTTACACAGCATTTTTTTTTGATGGGTGAAAATGGTATGTTAACCCCGCCTGCGCTAACGGGATACGCTGGCGGAGCACCAGTGAAGGGTGATCGATGAAAATGAAAACAGGTCAATTAGCCCATCATGATGAATTCATCAGGAATTAACCATGATAGTTTCCAAGGGGAACCGCGTGGAGGTCGACCTGATTAGGTATATTGCTAGCAATGGGATTCTCAGTCTCCATTACTAACAATTCCTTTCCCCCCAAAGTTACACAGCATTATATAAGAATCTTAGGTAAAATATTTATTTATTTTATTATATTGATACTTTTAGACGGTTCCAGTTTCGTTTATTTAAGAGCAATGTCATTAGCCTAGTATACTTAGTGAATAGAACTGTACTCTGTAGATAAGTAAATAAAAGTTTGAGAATTTTTATAAAAAAAGTTTTTAGTTATTTAATCCAGTTGATTTTTTTTATACAACTTATGGCAAACAAGACGGCCTACCTGATGGAAAATGGTAACTTTCGCCTTTAGACATGAGCAGTACCATGGACATAACAGAGTATACTGTTTCGCCCATGATACTTCCCATGCGTTGCCATTCCTGAGGACTCAGGTGTTATTCCTCTTTACCCTGTAAATTCATGCCATATCCCATCATTCAAACTGATTTTTTTTAACGTTCAAAAAACCTTCTCCTAGAATCGAATTCCCAAATCGATCCATCCGAGACGTAATTCTGTTTATGCTATGACTAATACGTACTTGTTTGATAAATTAGACTCACCGACAATATGACATCATTATAGGTACCTATAAAGTTAACAATTAATAGCAAAAACTCCTCTGGCTCAGCTTTAAGGGTCATTTAACTGGTGAGACTTGATAATAGAACCCCGGCTGTGCTTTTAATATACAGCGGAATACCAGATAATATATAGATGAGAATGAAGGCATGTTTGTTGGCCCATCATGACGAATTTATTAGAAATTAACCATTATAATTTTTAAGCACCGCGGGTAGGCCGACTTGACGGAGCATACACTAGTCACTTTAGCAAGTTAAGCAAGCAAGCATAATTATGACTTGGTAACTTTAGAATTATTATTACTTTACTTAAAATTCTTCCTGAACAAAATCTTAAACTATATAATACTAGTTTATATCTGCGACTTCATTTGTGACCGATATCCGGTATCTATTGACCGATATTAAAAATAACTTACAAGTACATACATCTCCATCCCAAGTTAGTTTTAGTTTAGAAGAGTATATATGTATGTAATTCTAAATGGATTCAGTCTCTTCCTTGGTGGTTACATATTAAATTGTAATTGCTTTTTATCAAATTGTTAGAGACAATTGGACACCCTATCGTTCAATACAGAACATTGACTATGCATACATACATACATATCTGTCACGCCTGTCTCCCATTAGGGTAGGCAGAAACAATAGATTGCCAAATGCTTCGATTCAAACAAACCTCTTTTGTTTCTTCCACATTTATCAATTTTTTCATGTATGAAAAAACAAAAATACGCTCGCCGGTTACGGGTGCTTTTAAATTGGTCCTTCTTCAGCACGTCGCCTATTTGGTCAACATACGTCCGTCTAGGGCGGCCTCTATCGACATCTCCATTCATTCTTGCTCGATAAATCTCTTTCGTAATTCTTCAAATTCTATCTGTATAAATTTTTTTATGGCGATTGATTGAGTCGCTTGGAGTTTTTACTTTTAAAGAAAAAGTCTAATATCTAAAAGGCGTATTTAAGAGGTGAATGGGGATGAGAGGGGTGGTACATGCCCATGCCAGAATTATCCGGTGCCTTTATCAGGATGTAAGAGGAACTTTGCAAAAACATCTCTGAAAGATATATGTATGTGCGTTTTAAGAGATCAGGCCTTCCCAGAAAAACCAATGAATATTAATTTAAAAAATGTGCTACACTTTGCTGTCGAGTTTTATATTATTATACATACATATAATACAATTTCAATGAGACATGGATGATTGTATCTGACTTTATGTAAGATTTGTGGAGAAAATAAAAAATAAAAAAAATAATAATAATCTGACTTTAATAAATCCATTTTTGTGCGTGATTCATTAATATCGGTAATAAAACACCGTTAAAGCCTTTTGCGACATACATGAGATGTTTATAATTTAAAATACAAACATTTTAAATTATACGATGTGTATTATTATTCAAATGACAGTTATAAAAAATAATAGCGGCCATGCTACAATTTTGCTACAAATGGTAATAGTGAAGTAACGGCTTTTCGAGCCAATGAAGTTATTAAATAAATAAACGGAAAGTAGTACCGGTTGCCTATAGATATGTGTGGTGTCACAGTGTAATTATAATGTTTATGTACTGGGAAGTCGGTGACACCACTCGTGTGTGCTGTTCTAGATATTGCACAAACGATATTTCGAGAAATTAAGGTCTGTGGTTTGTAATTGAAAAGCGGCAACTTTAATCATCGCAGAATTAAAATAGGATCAACGTGGGAATAAAATAGGTAGGGCATCTGTTCTAAAAAGAATTGTAGAAATCAGTATAAAATTCATGGCGTAATCGTGTAACGTAATAACAAAGAAAAATTCAATTAAACTGAGAATCTTCATGTTTTGTAAGTTGTAAATAAATAGAAAAATAAGTCTACAGCAAAAATAAATATATGAAATGTTTGTATGATTTTTTTTTACGACAAACTGTTTATTATTAGGTAGTAGTTATTCTTTAATTATATCTTATAAATAATACTCGTAATAACTAAGATTAGGGTTGTCAATGTACTAAATACTAAACAAAATTTTAATACAAACAGCTATACAAAACGAGTCTGAAGTACAAATCTCTAGACAGAATTTACATAAATAAGGATTACAATATTATTTTTAAAATCATCCCCAAAAAAATACGAAATTAAAAGTAATAGTCGGCTTATCTAGTGACTCAAGTGTTGAGCCTTTCTTTGAAGAATGTAAGGCGTTATCTTGGGGATACTAATACACAGACCAAAATGTCCATATTTATTTTCATCATCATCATCTTCACGCTAGCGAACCAGCTGAACATAGAAGCCTTCCTCATAGACTGTCACAAAGAACGCTCCTATGCTACCTGTATCCACGCTTTAATTTAATAATTATATAAATAATTATTACCTTTTTAAAATATATTTGTTATATGAAGTAAAAATTGTTTTTAAGATGGTTAAATATTTTTAGGTCTTTATGAAGAGCATGTTCACATTAATTATAATTCCTTTTTACGCATCATATAAAATATAATGATTCGATAATTATATATCAAACATGACGTCAGTTTAAAGTAAAAATTTATATTATGTATACGAGAATGACTACAGTAGCAATGTAGAATAATCAGTCCGGTAATTACGTATATGTATCTACATAAATAAATTTAAGTGGCAGCCCTACAGGTACTGAGCACAGGTCATCGCCCTGGTCGGCCTTGCGTTTGCTCCCGGTATGTAAGCCTAGCATCTGCCTATACTTGCGTAATGTAATTAATGTTGCATACGAGTCAATGCATATAAGTCGATACTATATAACAAGTATTCATTAAAGAATAGCAATTATGTTATTCGTACTTATGTTTACTATTACTACCTATTTGATTATCTATTTCGATGCACTTTATAAATTAATTTCTTTACTTTTTTATATTTTTTTTGTGGCAATGATAACGGCATATTCTTTCATTTATACTTATTTAATACTAACTTTCTAGCTTCATATGCTGTGAGGTCTCGGCATAAAACAGACCACCCCTCTCTTTCTCGTGGAATATCTACGAGAGAGATAAGAGAGGACTAAAGGAACTTAATGGTCGAGGAATGGGCAGCAGAATCTCTCTTAAAACATCATCAAAGCCTAACTGCGATTGTTACTATTATTGTAACAACTATAAGCAAACCCTTCAATAAGGGGAAGCCTATTAAAAAACACTGTAATAAATAAGTCTTTAATCTTTTAAGAGGGACGCCGCTGCCCAATCGTCGATACCTCTATACCATCAAGTTATCTAAGTCGCCTCTTATGACACGCACGGGAAAGGAAGGGGTGGCCTATTCTTTGCCGAGACCACACGGCAATTTTTTTTAAATAATCATACAGAAATATTGAATATCGTTTTCGAAAAATTGAGACATAATTAAGATGTTGCCACATTTCCATATCTCTCTCGGTCTTAATAATGGCTGAGACAAAACAGGATTTTCAATTGTATATAAACAGTTTTCTTTATGCAACTTAGTGCACCAAACAAGCTGACGGGCTATCTGGTCGGAAGTGGTAAACATCGCCTATACACATGAATATAACAGAGTATTCTGTACTTTATTTGGTATTTTTGTTTTAAAATAAAAACATAGAGAATAATAATGTTCTATTTATTTCCAACACTGATATTGATGGTAATGAGCTCTCATGCTGGAAGATAATCGTAAAGCTTGTCTATAGACATGTGTCATGTGTAGTCCCGATAAAATAAGACGACAATCTTAACCGGTTTGCGTTTCCATTAGCTGGTTTCTAATAATCAGGAAATATGAAAAGAAGGAACCTAATAACAGTATGATTTTTAAAAGAGAGAGAGAGATTTTTTTTTTGATGGGTGAAAATGGTATGATAACCCCGCCTGTGCTAACGGGATACGCTGGCGGAGCACCAGTGAAGGGTGATAGATGAGAATGAAAACAGGCCAGTTAGCCCATCATG